CTGAACCTTCAGCCCAGTCACATCTGGACTCCACACCCTCCTCTTTTATGGAAGTTGTTGGCAAGAGAGAGGTCTTCTCTTTCTCTACCTGAGAGTGTTGAGAGGGACTCACTGAGCGTGGGTGAATCCATGAGGGTCCCAAAGAAAGGGATATCAAGTATTTATTAGGGGACACTCACAAATGACAAGATAGAGAGCCACCACTGCCCTTTTCCCTGAGTGTGCTGGAAACTGCGGTCACGCTCTGACCGCCACACAGAGAGCATGCGTCGTCTTCTCTCTGCTTATTAGAGCCCCTCAGATCGTGCCCTAAGCGCTGGCACCCCAAATGTTAATTGGCTGAATGGATTCCAACAGCAGGACTCCTTGTCTGACTCAGAGTATCGAAATAGGCCCTCAGCTTTCTATATCTGCAGATTTACACCTTTACAGCGCGTCGGGAAGTCGCCAAGCGCTAGCTCCTCATGTCCTCAATCTTACACCATACTTATTTCATGACTCAGCTGCCCCTACTCCAACCCCTGGTGATATGGCAGCATTGAGTTAATCTGTGCAAATTGCGACGTGCGAGGTCATCTCAGTGTATGGGGCAACAAGCCTTAATCAATGAAGGCACAACCAGGGGGGCCCACAGCTGAATTCCAATCCAATACTACTAGGAGTGTGTCCAAAATTCTCACGTAGAACTCATGGTGAGATAACCACTGGGCAGCATATTGGAAACCTCTGTAGAGATGAGGATCTAAGTCACTTAGGGGAGTCAGGTCCCTATCTTCCTTGCAGCATCCTGCTACATGCTGAAGAGGACACTGCCCTGACTGTTGGGCAGCATAGCACAAGACTCCAAGAGCCGCCTTCACAAGATCTCTCTGCCCAGGTGCTATTAAAAGGCTGTTTGATGCCCAAGGGCAGATCTCCCTGCTGACTAATGGCGATGTCCCTGTCTAGTGATGTAAGTAGTATGCGGTGAGTGTGCGGCTGAGGGAAAGTCACAAGTCAGGGACATAATCAATGGAGTGACCACACCCCCCTCGGCACTGGTAGTGATGTGGTTGGATGACTTAAAATGGCTAAGAAGTAAGTGCCTAGCCCTACCAGAGTGTGGCTATGGACTATGGCCTGAGCTGCAAGATCTCCGATTTCTAAAGTGAGTGATGGATTGTCTACCTGTTCCAGAAATACTGCGGAGGGCGCAAGGAGAGGGAGGAGAAGTAATGACATAATTCCAATAGCAGGCACTGTGTGTTGGGTGCAGGGGAGTGACTGAGGCTGTCTCCCCCACAGCTCAGCCCTAGGCAAGCGCTGAGTCACGCTGTGTCTCACTTCCTTCACCCATGGTGAGGAGAACTGACACACAGCAAGACTTACTCCATTAAGGCAAGGGAAGCCCTGGCATGGGCCTGGCTCCAAAGCCTTTCAGTGGTGCTTTGTGGGACAGCACAGCACGGGCTTGTTAAGACCTTAAGCTTCACACCTGTCACTGACATTTCTCATTGGCTCAAAGGGAAGTCACATGCCTGACGTCACAGCTAGGAAGTGGCAGAAGTGGGATTTGAACCAGAGAGGTTCTTGCACTTGAATGCAGGATACCTTTTGCCTAGACTCCTGAAGATAAGGGGGTTGAGGAGCCCCATAGACTGGACAGGCAGTGAGAAAGGGGGTTGGATTTCTAGCGGGTGAGAAACAAGGCTCTGGGCCTCCCCAGGGAACCCGGGATGGCTTCCTGAAGCTGGCAGAACTGGACTGAACTCTGTTGAAAGTTCACCCAAAGAACTGTAACTTTAAGACATAATAAACACACCCAACTGAAGCTATCTGCTCAATGTCTTTAAAAATTGTAGCTCCTGGTGACTGATCATCACCCCATCAAGATACAGAACACTTCCATTGCCCCCCAAAATTTCCCTCCTGAACGGTTTCCAGCCAGTACCCCACACCCAGCCCCTCTCCAGATAACCACCATGGACAGAGTTTATAAAGACTGGGTGGGAGGTGAGCAGGCACTTAGAAAGAACTTAGAAGGAAAAGGACATGGGGGCACCGACTTCCCATCAGTGCGGATGAGCAGAGGGGCAACTGATGTCAGAGATAAGAAGACATCAGAGATTGCAGAAGAGAAGATCTTGTGCCCTCGAGGAAGCGGGACTTCGTGCCAAAGGATTAGGAACCCAGACTGAAAAAAAGCCCATTGTGAGGGTGACTGAGAGCTGCCAAGGAAGCTTGTGGGTGAAGAACAGAGAAAGCCAGGGTATGAGGCTGCAGGGAGCAGAGCTGATTATGACCGGCTTGAGCACCCCCACTGGGACCCTTTGGACTACCACCCACACATGTGGGCCCCACTGTTTTTCTTGTTTTTCAAGCAAAACCAGAAGCCTAAATTCATGAGAACAATCTCTTGATTTTAAAAGTTGAGAACTGTATTTCAGTCGCTCCAAAATACCATGCAAACCAGTGCAAGGTGTTCCTGACATGGCCTTGACCTGAGAGGCACCAACAGAGGTCTTCAGCATTCCTTCTCTACAGTGAGGGGCAGAGGGGGCCAGTTAGCACAGCAGCCCTTCAGGAGGTATGGACCAGCCTCATAGGATCCAGCAGGAGCGAGGAATTGGGGCGTGGCCTGACCCCACTCCATCTGGAAGGTAGAGGTGGTAGGCCTTAACTGATAGGCAGCCTGTGGGTATGAGACAAGATAAACCCCAAGGACTCAAGCAGGGCTGTGTAATGAGATGGAGGGATTTTGGATTGCTTGTGCGAGGAGAGGTGGAGAGAGACAGGAGTGGAGACAGGGCAGCCGTACAGGCTAGATGAAAGTAGGCTCCAGCGGAGAGCTCCTCGGAGTACCCTGCCATTTAATCCTTGAAATAATGGGGGGGGATGCTCCTCCCCTGGAAGCACCCTCTGTCCAGCTTCCTGCACTAGGCTCCCCACTCACAGCACCAAAACCCCTGGTGGCCAGGGTCCAGGAGGTGGCCAGGGCCCAGGAGGTGGAGGCAGAGAGTGAAAACTACTAGAAGGCTTGGCTTTTGCCACCTTGGGTTCTCAAAGCCTCAGCTCGGTGACGGATGGGTGAAGAGGTTCCGTAAGGTTGTTGACTGACTGCCAGGGCTCACAAGACCCCCTGAGCTCCAAAGTAGCGAAGGACACAAGGACACTAGGCCGCACGGACAGGAGGTACCTAGAGAGTCCTAGAGGAGGTAGGGAAGCCAGATGATTCTAGCTGTAAAGGGGAGAAAGAGAAAGCCTGCACAGAATGGACCACGAGTACTCGGGAGTTGATTATGTGGGCTTGTAAGAGTCAACTGTGGGCACCTCTTCCCAGTTTCAGATGGAAGCTGGCATAGCTTCAACATGGAGGGACTATTTTACACACCAAGACTGACAGACATACCGCAGGGCTGGCTTCTCCCTGGAGAGCCTCTTATTAAACCCCTCCCCTAAAGCAGATATGCTATTTATTGGCTGACACCCTGGGATATCGACAGAAGGGCTGGCTGGGACCCCTCAGGGACAAAGACATCAAGAGTTCAGACCTCCAAGCTGCCGCCTGTACCCTGAGATGGTCCTTTCGTCTCTAGGGACCTCACTCAGGTAACACTGGATCCTGGGCTCAGAAAAGCAATTCAGGATGAGTCGGTAATGGAGTTTATTAAGAAGAGAAAGGCTCTCAGCGAAGAATCCTGCTTGTGAGTCCAGGTGTGAGCTTCTCGAGTCGCACGCATGTCTTAGCAACAGAGCTATATGACATTTTGGTAGCTCTGCAGTTACATCTCAAAAAAATTGTAGGAAACCTTTCCACCCTCAGTAATGAGATTATTAGAAAGGTTCAAGGGGGCACTGAGGTGGGTGGCTGGAGGCTGGGAAGTCCATTAGAGGAGCTAGTGGCACCATGGTCAGACAATGGCATAGGGAAGGCTCTGAGGAGAGAACTCAGGCCAGAGAGAGACAGCACAGCCAGAGGAATGGAATCCAGGGGGCAGAGTTGGGATTTGGGGCCTTTATGGTTCTGAGGAAGACTCTCCGATTCTCCAGCAGGCGGCAGGGGAGGTGTGTGGTCACCTTTGATGCTTCTGAGCCTGCAAACTCGTTTCCCCGGGTGAGAGACCCAGACACCTGCAAGTCTGTTAGCTAGAGAGCCACAGACAGTGCCCTGCCAGCATCTGTCTGTCCGCAGGGCCGGGAAGAGAGGAGCAGTAACCTGGTCCAGGTTCTGAGAGTAGCTGACCAGGTGCCTTGGGTGGGATTCCAATCAGAAGGCCGCTAAGGTTACATAAGGGGGTTGGGACACATCCTCGACTTAGTAGAAAGAGTTTCTGGTGAGAGTCTGTGTAACTGTAGGCTTCCAGCGTGGAGGCGGAAAGGGCTATATGAACACCAGACTTTGAGCAGAGTTAGTAGCTGCTTTGACTTGGAATGTCTATTAGTTGGGGAGAAGGCCCAGAGGAAGTGCTTATTCTGCAGCTGAGAGAAGCTGAGTTCAAGTCCCCGTACAAACAAAAACTCTCGGAAAGTTCTCTGGGACTCATTGGCCAGTCTGAATTGGTGACCCCAGATTCACCATGAGACCCATTTTGAAAGGGACCGAGCGTTGTAGCACACGTCTTTAATCCCAGCACTTGAGCAGAAGAGGTAGGAAGATCTCTGTGAGTTCAAGGTCAGCCTAGTCTGCATAGCAAGTAGCCAGGTCTACATAGAGAGACCTTGTCTCAACAAAAGAAAAAAAGAAAAACTAAGAGCCCGAGAAGAACACACACACCTGAATACACGTGCACACGTGAACAAACACACAGATCTGCAAAGCACATGTTTTGCTAGGCATGATGGTGAACACCTTTAATACCAGCACCCATCAGATGGGAATCTGGAAGAGAGGACGTCATCACTGGGGTGTCAAAACCACATATGCAAAAATACATACCATCTTCATCTAAGCTGACCACCAAAAGCGGCAGGGTGTCCATCTTGTGAGGCGCTTGTTTGATCAACCGTGATGCCACAAGAGATTACATTTTAATGATTTACTTTACTGATCAAAACTTAAACAGAATGGAAATTTCAGAAATTTCAGTGGAGTGAAGACACATTGTCCTGATTGTCAGGCACAGACATGGCATTTAATGATAACACAGGATTCCCCCTGGGCTGCTGTCATTGTACCAAGGGCCGTCGGGTCTAGCGTGATCATCTTAATGGCTGAATTTGGGAGCACGACCCCACAGGCTGAAGAAGGAACATCTAATAACTGCTGAGACCGTGGCAAACAGCAGAGAAGAATCTTGAGGAGGAACCCAGTGCCGGACAAACAAGATGGCACGAGGCTGCCATTGATGTGGAGACACCAGCAGCATCACAGCCAGAGCACTGAGTGAGGTGGCAGCTGCTAGGAGGAGAAAAGGAACTTCTCTTTCAAGACCATTTTTGCCAGGTGGTGTACAACTTTAATCCCAAATTCACAGAGGCAGGTGGCCTCCCTGAGTTTGAGAGCAGCCTGGGCTATAGAGTGAATTTCAGGCCAGCCAGGGCTACATAGTGAGACCCTGTCTCCAAAATAAATAAAGAAAAATAAAGAAGTTCTTTCTCTTTAAAGAGGACACATGAGTCTTTTATGGCTTGACTTTTGCATGTCCTTAAGATGCTCTTGAAGCTGGGGAGATGTGGGTGGGGAAGCTCTGTTCTAGAAAAATACATTGTTTTAGTTGGGGTGAAACTAGCCTTTGTATAACCTGAAGGAAATCAGTTACGTGAATCTGGCACGTCAAATAGGGGTCTCACAGGCTAGCGACAGCAGCTCTGAGCAGCAGAAAGCCTTGGGACCACATAGGGCAGTTATATCCCACCTATATACCACCACCCCATGACCAGCAGAAACCCTTCCTCTTTCCCTCCCTCCTCCTCCTCCCCTTTCCTTCTCCCTTTCCCTTTATTTCCTTGCTCTACTTCCCTTCCAGCTCTTCCTCTCCTCTCTTTTCCTCCCTCCCTTCCCTTCCTTTCCCTTCCCTTTCCTTCCCTTCCCTTCCCTTCCTTTCCTTTCCCTTGACCCCCCCCACTTTCTGGAAGCTCTTCGTTTTTCCTTTCCCTCCCTCCCTCCCTCCCTCCCTCCCTCCCTCCCTCCCTCCTTCTCTTTCCTTCCCTCTAAAGTAGACTACAAACAAACAAAAGTGTAATTTTGACAACCGACTGTCTCAGCTTCAGGCTCTGCACACACATGCATGGGTCTCCACTGAGCAGCCCAGCCCTCTCACAAGGCGAGATACAACTGACCGTCTGTGGGTCACCCGCGGAGGAACCGCCCAGGGTATGAGTCTGCCTCAAAGGCCCAGTGCTCTACTCTGTCTGGTACTCAAAAGACAGCCAGTAACTTAAAGTATGTGGAGACCTCTGACTCAAATGCCAAGGGCATGAGTCAGGACAAATGAGAGGAGGGTCCTGAGGGGTGTGTGCCATGGTTTCATGGTGCTGGGGACAGCTGAGGAAGGCTGCAAAAGATACCAACCCGAGGGCGTGTTTGGTTAGGGTTAGGGGATCTGGTTTTGATCAACAAGGGTCACACAATCCCTGTGGCTTTGTGCTAGCCTCCCAAGGCCATTAGATCTTCCTGAGGGGTGAGTTTTACCACAGCCTCAGATGTGCTCTTGATTTTGGGTCCAACCTGCTCAACTGAACCCTGCCTTAGGCTTCTCACAGTTGTGCGGGACTGCTTGCATGGAGCATTCCCTCGCTGTGCCTGGGTCTGCAGCACAACAAAGCTGATGGTGAAAGCCCAGTCCCAGGTTCCACACAGTTCAGAGGTGGCACCTTCAGGATGATGAGCTTGTGAGGGCTCTGCCCTGTCTGTGGAGCCGTTCATCTGCAAACAATGGTGTCATGGGCCATTGGGAGAAAGTAGAAACCTTGACTGGGGCCCACTTGGAAGAGTTGAGTCATTGGGGATGTGTCCTTGAAAGGTAAAGGGAATATTTTGTTCCCAATCCCTTCTTCTTTCAGTGTGGATAGGGGGTAAGGGGGTCTCACTGTGTAGCCCAAACTGTCCTTAAACTTACAGCCATCCTTCTGCATTTGCCTCCGGGTCAGGTCACTGGAAGAGGCCCACAGTTCAACCCAACCAGGCCTGGAACAGACATCTCTTGGGTCCTTAGCTCAGGCTTCCCAGCTCCTCCCTGAAGCCTCAGATCATTGAGCCCCCAGAAGCCACTGGACCAGGGAAAGGAAGTGAGTGTGTGTCGCGAGCACTACTGAGCAGGCCTTCCAGCCTTACTTGGAGGTCTGCAAGTAAATGACACTCAGGATAGCAGTTCTCTGCTTTGTCTGAACTAGGTTTATTGTATAGGCACTTCAAGATCTTATAATCGTTCTGGCACAGCCAATAAGCAAGTATCACTATCATAAATAAAGGTATAATATCCCATATATATTTCTAAATCCTAGGCAAGGCATTACTATATTCTATCTAATAAGGCATTGGGATATACGACCTGATGGCGGTTCGTGGCTCTCGACGTAGACCTCCGGATCAGCAAGTCTTGATCCGCTGGCAAGAGCTAGTTCTCTGGCTCTTGGACGGTCTCAGCTGTTGAGCGGCTGGTTAGTGATGGTTCATTGGATTCTCTATATGTGTTGCTAGTCTGGTCTTCGGCTTTAACAGCCTCTGACAGCGTGTCTAGCAGGTCACCTTGAGAACGTCTTCTGGTCGTTTGTGCCCCGTATTTACACTACTCTTCAGCATTACCTCACTCTTTAGCGTCACACTTTTGATTAGCACGCATGTCTGGTTATCATTCTGCACATGTCATTCTTATCTATATTTTGCACGTTTCAGTTAGTTTCGTTTCTTCCGGACATGTTCGTCCTTACAGGCTCATAACAGTGTGTGAGCTTTGGCGTGGCCTAGGGGCCACTTCCTCCACCACTTCCTTTCCCAGGCAACCTTGACTTATTGGAAGTTTATCCTATGGGAAGGATGCTTGCTGGGGACAGGCAGACACCTAGGTCCATCCTTTGGGCCTTAACGCATCGCTGAGGCTCCTCTACCTGCTCTCAGTATAAACTGGACGGTCGGCTTGATGGCCTCCAGGGCTCTCCCTGCCTGCTTCCTTGAGAGGCTCATCCCTCGGCTGAGTTGTCCTTCCACTCCCCTGACTGGATTCCATTCGGTCTTCAGCCAGCTGGACTGCACAGGGCAGCACTTCATTCTCCCCTCCACCAGCCTGTCCTTGGCTTCACACAATACGGTCACAGTCCTGGTCCTGCTGCCCTTGGAGCCTGACGCACAGGTGAGATGTTAGCTAGGGCATGGATGTGCTGGGGAGGGCCTCCACACGGGCCCTGGAGCCTTGGCTGACTCCACAGTCTTGTTCGCTTGAGGCAGTCTCATGTAGCCCAGGTTGGCCTGGAACACACTAAATAGCTGAGGATGACCCTGAATTTCTGAACTTCCTGCTTTTACTTCCAGTACCATGGTGGGTTTCTATGTTGGAGCGGAAACACCAGGTTTTATTCATTCTAGGCAAGGATCCTACCAACTGAGACACATCCTCAGACATATTTGACAGCCGAGACAACCGCTTGGCTCTGCTGCGTGCCTGGCCCTGTGTTTTGTGTGCTCTCAAAGACAGATGCTGGCCAGTGTCACACACACACACACCCAGTACCCCCCAGTCTCCCCACCTGGAGACTTCTGGGTTCTTTCTTGGCATATAGAACAGTTGAAATTCTTCGGAGCACACAGCTGGCACGGGCTAGCCTGGCCCCCATTCAGTGCCCCATACAAGGGGACCAAAGTAGACAGAGCCCCAAGTGCGGCCTCTAGACACAGAACATGGCCAATCGTCCAAGGCCCTGAAGCGTCAACACCGTCTCCCTGCTCCTCCTGCCTGGCCCTCATCTGTACCTCCTGTGCTTCCCAGACCTTAGAGAATATTTAACCACCTGTTAAATGATTTATCCCATGGAGGCTCCAGCACTCAGGGCATCTCACAGGCCTCCTCGAGAATTAACTAGAGCCATAAATCAAAGCGACAACGTGAGAGACTTGGGTTGCCTCAGTCAGCAGGCAGCAGCGTGCATGTGCGCCCAATGAGGAGAGGCTTGCACTGACCTGTCCCAGAGCTATCCAGACTAGCTCAGAATGGGGAAGGGGAGGTGAGCCAAGAATACTGGACGTTCAAACCCTGGTCACTGTCGGGGCCCCGGCATGCCTGTGAGCTTTGGGCTTCCGACCGAGACAGGCAGCATCCTAGCTCTTCTACAGTGGGCAAAGCGCTAGGCCCACCTGTGGCTTCATCTGATTAAAGGTCATCTGAGGGACAGGGGCGCATCAGTGGGAAAATGTAGTCCTGGGCCCAGGGCACCAGGAAACAAGATGGGGATGGATGGCCTTGATTAGTGGTGGGCCAGGACTGGTCATGTGTGGTTGAGCCCAGGAACCAGGCCACGGCTTGAATTGGGCGCTGTGGCAAGTGGATACAGGTGAGGCTACGCTCAGCTTCTGGGTGGCAGGGGAAGGGCTCCGTGAGGAGGAGAAAATGAGGCAGACAGGATTCGTGGCAAGCCAGGAGCCCCAAATGCCCCTACCTGGTCAGTCAGGCCTAAGGAGACCACCCCGCGACTCTGGCTCCTGGCTCTCGGCACAGGTCTTCCTTAGGCCTCCCTCCACCTCCCCAGGCCCCTGGCCATGTTGGACAGGCCATTGGATACAGAGGACCCATCATAGGAAAAACAGAACAGCATGAGCCAGATAGATGCCAGGGACCTGGCTACCTGCACTTGACTCATCTCCCAGGTGATCTGTCACTGCTTTGTGGCTGTCACTGAAGGTGACACCAGCCATACAGCAACAGCCCCATCTGCCACCTGATGCCGAAGGAGAAATGTACTTTTAAGGGTGGACATTCCATTAGTTTCCCTGAGAAACTTAATATGAATCTTTTAATCTCCCACAACCCATTAAAATGTTTGTTTCCAGGGCTGGAGAGACGGCTCAGTAGTTGAGAGCACTGGCTGCTCTTCCAGAGGATCCAGGTTCAATTCCCAGCACCTTCACACCAGCGCACATATAAAATAAATTTAATTTTTTTTTCTCCAACCAAGGCCCTGTTGCATTCCTGGAACCTGACGGCACATTCATTTCCTTCCTACGCTTTCCAAAATAGGCAATCGAGAGTAGACTGGAAAGTGGAGCCTCAGCCTGTGAGGGACAACCAGCAACCTTGCATTAGGAATAGAAGAGGTATCTTGGCTGTGTGCTCCTTACTTACTTACAAACTGCTCATGACCAGTTTGGGTCATGGTGCAGCCCCTTTGCAAAAAGAAACCACCTCGATGGGTTGCTGTTTGTCCCAAAGATGTGAGGAGGAAGACCACCACCCAAATCACCAGGACCAAATTAATTTAAACAAGCAATTAATTAAAGCAAGCTTTTTACAAAGCTCATGTACGTGGGCTGCCTCCCCCTAAAGCAGGGTGTGAGAGGCCAGCATTGGATATGAGAAAGACAAAACTTTATAGTCCGGGAGTAGGGGCTTCCAAATGGGAGATTCGGTGGGCAAAGTAGGCAGGGGCACAGGAACAGCACATAAGATAACAAGTTAGTCCCTCCCGAAACAGACGAGGTTGCAAGATGGGCATAGCAGCAGGTAGTCATAGGTGGTCATAACCCTTTGAAACAAAGGTAGGGGTGCAAGATGTTTATAAACAACTTTTCGAAACAAAGAATGACTGCCATTCCTGGAACACACAGTGCAGAACCATTTGTAGTTAAGGGTCACAGACTGAGCATAGCCCAGTCCTTGAGAAACAAGTTTACTCACAGACAGGAATGAACCTAGCTTGTCCTTACTGTAAAACGGCCTCTAAACTCGGCAGTGGTGGTGCACGCCTTTAATCCCAGCAGAGCTCAGGAAGCAGGCGGATCTCCGTGAGTTCGAGGCTAGCCTGGTCTACAGGGGGAATGGCAGGACAGCCAGAGCTACACAGAGGAACTTTGTCTCAAAACAAAACAAACAAAAAGATGGCCTTTAAACCTAAGAAGGAGGAAGGCTGGGTCTTCATAACTTCTCTTGGTCCTGGCCTTTCTTTGTGTAGCGCTGAGACTATTCTTCCCCATGGCTGGAGCCCTGGGACAGCGGCAGCAGGCATTCTTCAGAGGGGCTTGTGAGGTAGAGTGATGACTTCTACTGACAGGACAGGAGACCTCCCCACTGCCATGACCTCCCCACTGCCATGACCTCCCCACTG